TCTTGACGGAAATCCCCCCGAGGGTTGGCTTGAGTTTCACCAACTGAATATCTTGAATTTTTTTTTGACTCAAAAAATTACCCCTTTTCCATGCCCCACACCTCCCCCCCAACTCCCCCCACTCACTCTCTGTCTCACTCTCACCCCCCCCCCCCCCCCCCACCAGCACCCACAACGCGCCCGCCGCCCGCACTCTCTTTAGAACCAGAGGAAACGGCCTGTGATTGAGGTGGGGATTAAACTCAGAACAAATCTGCAGAACCACTAGTTCCCGAGGGAGGGAGGGAGGGAGGGAGACCCCAAATGCCTCATGTCTTCTCTCTCTCTCTTCCCCCCTCCACATTCCAAATCTCTTTGACTGTATCGCCCACAAAACACTCAGTCACTACACCTTACGATAAATCCTTTAAAGCCCTTTGAGACGTCGACCACAGGATAAGCCGTGTCCCACAAACAGCCGTGGATTGACTGAACAAATTATTATTATAAGGAATTATTACCCCAGAAAGCGATCCACCAATCGACTAACAACCGGGTTCCTACTTACTGCCGGTAATCAGAGGCGCGTGTGTGTGTGCGCGTGTGGGGAGTGGGGAGACCTGCCTAAGGTTTCGCCTCGACCCGACCCACCCGGGAATCGAACCCGCTGGCGAGGCGGGGGCTGTAGCCACTCCATGATAAAGCTGGGAGGTTGAGATCGAATGAGATGCCGCAGAGAGCTTGACGGGAGGTGCTGTCTAGCGCTGGTGACTGTTGACGGCAGCGAAGCTGATTAGAGGCCCAGTCGCCGCGATAGTAAAGAAAATATCTGCACAGGACAAGACAGGGTGTAAAAACCCCCTCAAGTTAACCGCAGGGAGGGTGGGGGGTGTGGGGGGGGGGGACAAGAGATAAACTGCTCATTTATTGACAGAGCTACAGTGCAGTCCCATTGTAACACTGTGGTTTGGTTGGCGGTTTGGTGGGTGGGTGGGGGGTGGTGGGTGCGGTTTGGTGGGTGGGTGGGGGGCGGTTTGGTGGGTGGGTGCGGGTTGGTGGGCGGGTGGCAGTGGGGGACGGTTTAGTGGGTGATGGGGGGGGGGTTTATAACCTAATCAGGGCACACATTCTCTAAGGACAGGAAGTGACGTTGGCATTGATCTGATGACCGGAAGTCAGTCATTTTTAAAACATTTTAAGGCATCGTATCGGGGTGTAAACACTTGGGTGAACACAACCACACACACACTCACTCATACACACACTCACTCATACACTCACTCACACACTCACTCACACACACACTCACTAACACACACACTCACACACACTCACACTCACACATTCACTCACACACATACGCTCACTCACACACCCACAATCTCACTCACTCACCGCACACACTCACTCACTCACCACACACACTCACCACACACACACTCACTCATTCACTCACTCACCACACACACACTCACACTCACTCACCATCAGTGCACAGTAAACACACAGTAAAGCCCCATTGAGTGTGAGTTGCACTGTTCGCACACAGATGTGACTCCACTCAGTAGAGACTGAGAATGCCCGGAACCCACCAATACTGACGAGGAATTCGGTGCAGATTATGGCCATACCTTTCACCTCATTCCCTCCTTCTGCCCTCCCTCCCCCTCTACTTCCCCCCAACCATCCCTCACTTCCACCCCCCGCCCCCCCCCCCACACACACAGGAGTCCTGTGTCAAATTCAAGGCCGATTATTATAATTTGGATCATTATAATTGTGACCGTAGGAAGCGCAGGTCAAAGAGGAAGGACTTCAGGCACCACCTGAAGATGGGGAAGGAAGGGGCAAGGCGGGGGGCGGGGGGGGGGGGGGGAGATGGAGGAAGGGCACGGCTGGAAGGAAGCGAAGGACAACCCAGGCATTAAACCAACCACATGGGCCTCGTTGTCTGTCCGTCTGATTTACAGGAGACAGAGACAGAGAGGGAGGGAGCGAGAGAGAGAGAGAGAGAGAGAGGAAGTCAGGGCTTTTCTCTGTGTGTGTGTGTGTGTGTGAGTAACAAAAGATAACCACAATTAGTTATTTATCGGGAAGATTAAACAGAAATAAGATTCCCGCTTTTGTCTGTTTGTCTGTAGAACATCCTCCGTCATAAAATGACTTTATATATATATATAGACACACACACACATACGATTGCTGTGCGCAATTGGCTGCCGTGTTTCGCCCACAAAATACACCGTCACTTACACTTTACAGTGTATCCTGTGAAGCGCTTTGAGGCTTCTCGAAGATTCCGTCAACACCCCCATACATTCATGTACAGTACAGTACACACACAGTGCACGCACACATAAGCTCATGAATATACGCTACACATACTCACATGTAAATACCGTACACGCATGCGCGTATACACAGTACACATACATACACGTACACACATGTGCATATACAGTGCCCACACACGTACACACTGTACATGCGCCTATACACTGTACGCACGCCTATATACTGTACACATGCCTATATACTGTACACATGTCTATATACTGTACATATGCATATATACTGTACACACACAGCTATATACTGTACACACACACCTATATACTGTACACACACACCTACATACAGTACACACACACCTATATACTGTACACACACACCTACATACAGTACACACACCCCTATATACTGTACACCTACACACTGTACACACACCCCTACATACAGTACACACACATCCCTATATACTGTACACACACCCCTATAGACTGTACACACACACCCCTATACACTGCACACACACCCCTATATACTGTACACACACCCCTATATACTGTACACACACACCTATATGCTGTACAGACACCCATATACTGTACACACACACCCCTATACACTGCACACACACCTATATACTGTACACACACACCCCTATACATTGCACACACACCCCTATACACTGCACACACACACCCCTGCACACACACCCTATACACTGCACACACACACACCCCTATACACTGCACACACACACCCCTATACACTGCACACACACACCCCCTATACACTGCACACCCCCCCCCCATACACTGCACACACACACCCTATATACTGTACACCCACACCCTATACACTGCACACACACAGCACTATATCTACTCGAGTCCAAGTCGCGTTGGGTTTTGCTGAACGTTACGCAGATTTGCAATAATCGACACTTCGCGTTAAGTCATATTATATATATATATATATATACAGATCCCAAGTGATGCTCCGCCTCGTGTCGGCAGCACTGTGTATTGGGGGTTGGCGGCTGTTAAAAAATTACCAATTGCCCCCCCAACCCCCCACCTCACCCCCCCCACACACCCACCCCCCATCCCTCCCCCCCCATCACCCCACCCCCCATCACCCCCACACCCCCAACCACCCCCCACACCCCCCTCCGCCTTAACTAAAACCTGATCCACTTTTGCAGTGACACTAATAATATATTGAATAAAAATAATATATTGATTTAACGCACATCAAGGAATCAGGGATTAGCATCATCGCTTTCTGGGCTGTTGTTACCCCCTCCCACACCCCCCACCCGCACCCCCACACCCCCCCCCCCCACCCGCACCCCCACACCCCCCCCTCCCACCCCGCCCCCCCACCCCCCACCCCACCCCCCTCCCACACCCCCACCCCCCTCTCACACCCCCTCCCACACCCCCACCCCCCTCTCACACCCCGCACCCCCACACCCCACACACCCCCCACCCGCACCCCCACACACCCCCCCTCTCACACCCCGCACCCCCACACCCCCACCCGCACCCCCCCCCCCTCCCCCCCACCTCACCCCCATATCTACTCAGCAAAAGAGAGAGATTAGTGATGTGTTTTTTTTTAACTCTTTATGTAACGAGAAAACAATTCTTTAAGAGAATGTGGGGCTGTGTTTTGTGTTTAATATCACAGCAAAGACTGTAACAGGACCGAACGCAGCAAACTGGGGGGGGGGGGTCGATATGGTTTAATTTTGGTGGGTGGGGAGGGGTGGGGGGGGGTGAATGGAAGATAAGACAGACAAGGAAAGAAAGACAAGAAGAGAGAGAGAGAGATCAGGACATTTTATTTTGCGGGGCGGTGGGTGAAGAAGATCTTTTTTGGGGGGAGAGAGAGAGAGGCACACACAGGGGGAGAGAGATGGTGGGGGGGGGGGGGGGGGAGAGAGAGAAGTTTTGCTTTGCTTTCAATCCCAAACCCATTGACTTGGAAATACAAGAGAAGGATTGTAGTGGGGGGTGGGTTAGGGGGGGAGAGAGAGAGGGGTGGGGGGAGAGAGAGATGGAGTGGTGGGGGGGAGAGAGAGATGGAGTGGTGGGGGGAGAGAGAGATGGAGTGGTGGGGGGGAGAGAGAGATGGAATGGTTGGGGAGAGAGAGAGATGGGGTGGTGGGGGGGGAGAGAGAGATGGAGTGGTGGGGGGGAGAGAGAGATGGGGTGGTGGGGGAGAGAGAGAGATGGGGTGGTGGGGGGGGGGGAGAGAGAGGGGGTGGTGGGGGGGGGAGAGAGAGAGAGATGGGGTGGTGGGGGGGGGAGAGAGAGATGGGGTGGTGGGGGGGGGGAGAGAGAGATGGGGTGGTGGGGGGGGGAGAGAGAGGTGGGGTGGTGGGGGGGGGGAGAGAGAGAGAGATGGGGTGGTGGGGGTGGGGTGGTGGGGGGGGAGAGAGAGAGAGATGGGGTGGTGGGGGTGGGGGGGGGTGGTGGGGGGGGGGGTGGTGGGGGGAGAAGAAGAGTTGAAAGAAGCGAAGGAAATCCTGACTTGTTTGGCTTTTTGTGTGTGTAGTGGTGCGTGTGTTGCGTTGTGTGTTCTTTTTTTTTGCTCACAACCCCCACTCCCCCCCAACCCCCAACCCCAACCCCCCCCCCCCCAAAAAAAAAAAAAAAAAAAACATCACCAACTTTCCCCCGGACAGACCCAGACGGACGGGAGAAATAAAGAGACGATTGTGAACTCACCAAAACCATCGAGAACCTCTCCTCCAGTTCGCTTTGTTCGGGGATGGGCAGCTTCAGTGGCATAGTGTGAGGCTTCAGGTCCGTCTGTTTGTCCAGACTCCCATTATTTCCCATTTCCTCCAGGGCCAGGAATTAAAAAAAAACCTCCCAATGCTCCCAAGATTTCCCCCCCCCCCCCAACCACCCCCCCCCCCCCCCCCCCCCCACCTCCTTCCCTCCCACTCTCTCTCTCTCTTTCCCACTCTCCACAACTCTCTTCTCCTCCTCCTCCTCCTCCCTTCACTTGTTTGCAACAACAACACAGATCGCCCCCCACCCTCAGCAAACCGTCCAGCCTCAGGGAGGGGGGGTAACACAAAATCCCCCTCCCTCCCTCCCACAAAAAAAAGTTTAACAACCCCCCCCACCCCACCACCCCCACTTCAATTAAAAAAATCTAACTCTCCCCCCCCCACCACCCCCCACCCAATAAAAAAACTTTTTTTTTAAGTCCCCCCCCCACCACCACCCGAAGACTTGAGTCGAGTCAATGTAAACCGCCTTTTTAATCTACGTTGTCTCCCACTTTCTCGGTCTCTTCTCGTTCTTTTTCCCCCATCACCTCGGGATTACCGCGAGGAAAAAGAAGTTTTCCCGAGGTGGGGTGGGGTGGGGTGGGGGGGGGGGGGGGGCGAGAGGTGGGAGAGGTGGGGATCATCCCAGAGGAGGCATTTCAGAGGGTCTTGCCGCTGGGGGAGACTGACCGCCGGTGAGTAGTGAGTAGTAAAACTCGCCGCTCGGGCTCCATTCATTAAAGTGTGTGGGTTTCAACCCCCAGTGCCCATTCATTGAATGACTGAAGCCCAACCCCCACCGGCCATCACTCACCCACACAAACAAAGGGAGGAGGGGCCTGCCACTCGCCTTGGCCCCGCCCCTTTCCTTGGCTCCACCCTTTCCTTGGCTCCACCCTTCCCATTGGCTCCACTCTTCCCATTGGCTCCACCTTTTCCTTGGCTCCACCCTTTCCTTGGCTCCACCCTTCCCATTGGCTCCACTCTTCCCATTGGCTCCACCTTTTCCTTGGCTCCACCCTTTCCATTGGCTCCACCCTTTCCTTGGCTCCACCCTTCTCATTGGCTCCACTCTTCCCATTGGCTCCACCTTTTCCTTGGCTCCACCTTTTCCTTGGCTCCACCTTTTCCTTGGCTCTACCCTTTCCTTGGCTCCACCCTTCCCATTGGCTCCACCCTTTCCTTGGCTCTACCCTTTCCTTGGCTCCACCCTTCCCATTGGCTCCACCCTTCCCATTGGCTCCACCCTTTCCTTGGCTCCACCTTTTCCTTGCCTCCACCCTTTCCTTGGCTCCACCTCTCCATTGGCTCCACCCTTTCTTGCCTCCACCCTTTCCTTGGCTCCACCCCTCCATTGGCTCCGCCCTTGGCTCGGTGCCACCGTTCACACATATTGTTTGCATTTTAATAACAATGTCATAATAATATGATATGTCACAATATATAATATATAATAATAATAATCTTTGCATTTGATACACCGCCTTATCGCGGCTTCGAGACATCTCAAAGCGCTTCACAGAATATGCTGGGCAGTGTAGTGACTGTGTATTTTGTGGGCGGGCGAAACACGGCACAGCAGTAAATTAATGTTAATAATTAATAATAATTGCATTGGATATTAAATAATAATTTGGTCACTCAACCCGCGGCTGTTTGTGGGGACGCTGCTGTGCGCAATCGGCTGCCGCGCTTCGCCCGCCCACAAAATCACTACACTTCACAGTATATCCTGTGAAACGCTTTGATACCTCAACGACGTGATAAAGCTTCATATATAATATATATATATAATATGAGGGTTATTATAATTATTGGGGGATTGTTGTCCAGGACACTGGGGAAGAGAGAGAGAGAGAGAGAGAGTGAGAGAGAAAAACTCCCTTCTCCTTTCGAATAGCGCAATGGGATCTTTAACGTCCACCTGAACAGAGCACGGACGGGGAGTGAGGGAGGTTTAACGTCTCATCCGACAATGCGACACCCCCTCCTGAGCGCTGCTGGGGGGGGGGGGGGGGGGGGTTGGGGATGGGGGAGGCTCCAACAAATCGATCGCCCTGAGGGGGCGCATCGTCAAAAAGGTAAGAGGAAGGAACGGTGGAAATGCGTTGCTTCTGAGCCACATCGAAGATAAAGACTCATGTCTGTGGTTTTTGTTGAGTGTGGCCGAGGTGCCATCTGGTGGCGATGGACCATGTGGAGGTTCCTGTCCCAGATCGTGTGATTCCATGTCCGACGCAGGGGGGTGGGGGGCTGGGGCTTGAACCCACAACCTTCTGACTCGAGGGGCGAGAGAGAGAGAGAGAGAGAGAGAGAGCGCCGCCGACTGATCCAGACTGGCACAGTAAAGTGTAGTGACTGTGTATTTTGTGGGTGAAACGCGGCAGCCAATTGCGCACAGCAGCGTCCCCCACAAAGAGTGGTGGATTGAGGGAGCAAATTTTTTTTGGAGGGATTATTACCTCCGGAAAAGCGGTCCAACGATTGACTAACAAGAGGCGCGTGTGTTGTGTGTGTGTGTTGTGTGTGTGGGGAGTAAGGAAACTTGCCCAAGGTTTCGCCCTGACCTGACCCGCCCGGGAATCGAACCCGGGTCCCTCTGGCTCGCGAGGCGAGAGAGCTCCGACCACTGAGCTACAGGGTCTCCAAGATCCTAAGGCACTGTTGGAAACATTCTTACCGTCCCTCTCGCGCACTCACACTCTTACACACAAACACTCTCTCTTTCACACCCACTCACACTCCCCATCACGTCACACGCACAGTAATTCCGCGCTAAACCCAGGGTTGGATGTATTTTGTCAGTTAGATCGATGCAACCCGATTACGGTCCATCTTTGAACCAATTCGCTATCAGAAACCCCTCAGAAAACAGTCCACTGAACGTTAAAGGCGACTCCGAAACTCAGAGATAATTGAAATTCAGAGATAGATGTGCAGCCGACTCACGGCCACGTCAGCTCAGAAATTGGTTGGTAACTTTATCAAGCAGATGGTGTTCAACATTTCACAGCGCGCCCACAAAATAATCTGAGCAGTCACTGGGGGCAGGGAATCCTCCCCCTCAGCTCCTGTTAACCCCGCAGCCAAAGCACTAACTAACCAACCAACTAACGGGGAGGGTGGTCCCAGCTGGACAAGCAGCGGGAAAGCTGGGCCGGATAGCGCTCTCGCTCTGTCAGTGTCAGTGGCCGAGCTCTGTGTGGGTTTAGTTGGTTAGACCCCAGCAGTTACCCCAATGCACACTCTGGTCTTCCTCCCCTCCCACCCCCCTACAAGCCTGGGCTCTCGCCAACCTGCGCCTAATACTCTCCGGAATTAGGTAAGCGGGGCGGGGGGGGGGGGGGGGGGGTCCCTCTAGGGAGAGAGAGAGAGAGAGAGAGAGAGAGAGCCCATTCCATTCCAACAACCTCTCTCTGGGATTCCCAGGTGTAGACGGGAAGCCCGGGATTCTAGGTTGGGTTTGGAGACTCTTACGCGACGGTAACGGGTTTCCGTACACTATAAAGTGAATTGACTGCATGTTTGTGGGGGAGACAGGGTACACGCCGTTGCCCACCTCAGCGACCCACAAACAGCTGTGGGTTGAGTGACCGCATTTGTATTGGGGGGGAGGGGGGGAGGTGGGGATGATTACCCCCGGAAATTTATTTCAGCAAACAGACAATTCCGGGAATTAACATGTTGAGAAATTACCAACGGGTCTCCCTCCCCCTCCCCCTAACCCTCCCCACCGCCCCCGCACCCCCCACCACCACCACCACCACCACCATCCCCACCACTCAGATTTCGATCGCCAATCGCTTTCCGGGGGTAACAATCCCTTCACAAAAAAACATAAATAATAATTTGTTCGCTCAAATCCACGGCTGTTTGTGGGGACGCTGCTGTGTGCCAATTGGATGGCGCGTCTCGCCCACAAAATACGCAGTCACTACATTTCATAGTGTATCCTTGAAGCGCTTTGAGACGGGATGAGGCGTTGTATCAAATGCAACGATCGTTTCTTGTAAACACCAGACGGGGGCAGTCTCTATCCAGCAACAGGGATTCCGGTTCCTATGGGTCTCTCTGTAGCTCTTGGATGAATGTTAATTTATCAGTCAGCACTTAGAAAATAAACATAACAACATCTTTATATTTCCACCATTAGGAGGGGGGAAAATAGAGGGGTGTGGGAGAGAGGGGGATAGAGGGGCGAGGGAGAGGGGAAGAGTGGGGGGTAGGAGAGGAGAAGACCTTCCTCTTCAACCATCACCTCCCCCCAGGCTGCACCAGTCCCAAGCGCCCGGGGACGCTAACCTGTGTGAGGGGGCGCTGTGTAATAATAATAATCCTTGCATTTGATATAGGGCATTTTCACGTCTTCTCGACGTCTCAAAGCGCTTCACAGAATAGACTGTAAAGTGAGTTGACCGTATATTTGTGGACGAAACGCGGCGGCAACACATGAAAAGCGCTCTATCAAATGCCAGGATTATTATTATTATTATTGGGTTCCTCTACGACCGGGTTGACACAAATCCCTGGAACTCAACGATAAATCCCACCAACCGAGAAAGACGATCGATAAATTTGCGAACCCGTCATGAATATTTCGCGGCCTTTAATGATTGATTCCCACCGCGATTCAATCAGGTAAACAGACAATACGTCATCTTCTTTGACGCGGAGATCAATAAGAGAAAGACTTTGAAATTAAAAGTAATTACATTCCTTCCTTCCCCTCGAAATTGTCAGAATATCCCAGTGATTTACACACAGCGTCTGAAACCATCTCAGGGATATAAACTCTGGGTTTAACAGACCCTTCATCTTAGAGACTTCACTCCAAGTCCAGGCGAGAGAATATTATAAAGTAATAAACAGCCTTGCGATTTGATAGAGCACATTTCACCTCGGGGGGGGGGGGGGGGGCGGGGGGGGGGGTATATCTCAAAGCATTTCGCAGGATTTATTGTAATGCGGAGTTTCTGTGTGCTGGTAGGCAGCTACTATGATTATTATTATTTTATTGCACAAATACGTAACCGAAATAATGATAAAATCGGTCGCTCAATCCACGCCTGTATGTGGGATGTTGCTGTGCGCAATTGGCTGCCGCGTTTCGCCCGCAAAATACACAGTCACTACACTTTACAGTATATCCTGTGAAGCTCTTTGAGAGGATTATTATTATTATATCTGTGAGGGGTTTCAATGCACCGAGGTGCTACAGCAATGCTCTTTCTTTGTCCCTGTGGAAGTGCAGAGTGCAGTTAGGTCAGGTTCACCGTGAATTAATTTCATAAGTTTACAGGGGTCACATTAATGCAAAATCGCATTGTATATTCTACAAACAAAGCTGTCTGTATGCAAAGATTACCGCCCTGTGTGCGCAAATCCTTGTAAAACGATCCGTCGATCGACAACTGGGTTCCTATTTACTGTTGGTAAACAGAGGCTTGTGTGTTGCGTGTGTGTGTGTTGCGTGTGTGTGTTGTGTGTGTGTGTGTGGAGAAAGGAAATTTGCCTAAGCTTTCGCCCCGACCTGTCCCGCCCGGGAATCGAACCCGGGTCTCTCTCGCTCGCGAGAACTCCACGATAAGGCTGGTGCTTATCTTCACGTGACCCCAAAGAGAAGGGAGTTTCCCCCGGTGTCCCGGCTAAAAAAAATATGGACTCGACAAGTACTATATCAACCACAAGGAGGATTATATTATGCTTAATGTTGACAACAAGCATAACCCTTGCGGTTGATATGGCCTAAACACACCGTCGGGATGTCCGAAAGCCCTTCGCAGGATTTTGCTGTAAAGTGTAGTGACTGTGTGTGCTAAGTGCAGAAGCTCCCTTCTCTTTTCCGCGGGAGATCTTTAAGGTCCACTTGGACTCAACCACCTTCCTGGTTACACCGAGACACGGACTGATATATATCAAAGATTGTAACAGGTGTCGGAGGAGACTCCTATAATAAACCTCTCTGCTGGTTTACGGCACCAATTTGAAACGGAGCCTTTGCAATGGATTTCTCTCTGGCTGAGCCCTCTGAGTAAATCTACCCCGGCTGACAGGCCTCGCAGTCTCAAAGCTTCATAGGAAAACAGGAAACAGGAGGAGGCCATTCAGCCCCTCGAGCCTGTTCCACCATTCTATCGGATCACGACCCAACTCCAAATACCCGTCTAGACCCTATATCCCTTGATATACACCCCGACCCTAACAAAATGCTTTGAGGCGTCTCAAAGGCGTGTTAAGGAGCTCTATCAAATGTGAGGATTATTATTATTATTAATATTATTATTATTATTATCTCTCCACCTCAAGTCTTGAAAATGTGGATGGATCCAGCCATAATCCACAGTCTTTTGGGGGAGGGAGAGAGAGGGAGAGAGGGGGAGAGAAAGAGAGAGAGTTCCAGATTCCCTTTACATTTTATGTAAAACCTGCTTCCTGATTGTATCCTAAATGGCCTAACTCTCTGTTTGAAGATGAAACCCCCTTTATTCTGGATTTCCCCACCAGAGGGAATAGTTTCTCTGTAGCTATTCTCCCCAAACCCTTTACCATTTTACTCCTTCGAACGTGGAGGGGTTTAGAGGCGAGGACGAGGATCTTGAACCTCTATCCTCTGGGGGATGGGAAACCCGTGGGGCCGGGCGAGGAGGGGGGGAGGGCGATAGAGTCACGGAGCCTGGTGAGGGCAAGGACACGAGCTGCAGAGTGTATGCCCTGGCAACTCCCTCCCTACCTCTCCGACCTGCTTACCCCCTCTACTCCGCTACCCGCTGCCTCTGCTCGGCTGGCTCCAGCCTCCTGCTTGTGCCCTCGCCCCCTTCCCTCCTTCCCCTCTTTTAGAGGCCTTCCTCTTCAACCATGCTTACGGTCCCCTCCCTCCCTGTCTCCCTCCCTCCGGCTTGGCATTGTGGTCTGCCATGTTGAAGCCCTCCGAGTCGCTGCCCTACGTGAAGTAAGTGCGAATGGCTTCAACCAGTTGGGAAATGACATCACCCGATCCACCCGGTCTCTAAATCTCACAGCAACTCCCCGATGCCTCATATCCTGTTTATGTCAGGGATTGAGCAAACACCCTGCGGATGTCTGTTTGCTGGCGGGGGCTGAGGAGAGGAGAGGAACGAGGAGAGGCATTGGACGTGGGGGTGGAAACCGGACATGAGTTGGGATATTTCTCGGCTGATGGACCACCAAACTGTCCCCGTCGAGGACAACGAGAGAGAGAGTATGAGCGAGAGAGAGAGAGAGAGAGAGGGGGAATGAGACAGACAGCCAATGAGGGAGAGGGGGAACGAGACAGCGAGCCGGGAAGGAACCCGGTTGTTAGTCGATTGGCGGATCGCTTTCCGGGGGGTAATAATCCCTCCAAAAAATTTTGGGTTACTCAATCCACGGGCCGTGCATAATTGGCTGCTGAGTTTCGCCCACAAAAGCCCACAGTCAACAACATTTATATAACGGCGTTCACATCGGGAAACATCCCAAGGCGCTGAACTACACGGTGTGTCCTGTAAAGCGCTTTGAGACTCTCAACGACGTGATGAGGCGTTGCAGCAAACGCAAGGATTATTATTATTATTATCACCATTAAAATAACGAAAAAATATAAACATCAGGTAGAGTATTTAATACATGTCGTTCCCCACACCCACTGCCAAATTCCTGCCTCCCTTTTTAGTTTCCTGGTGAGAAAAGGAGAGTTTGTCAAATTCCGCGCAAAAACGTGTGTTTTTTTTAGAAATGACGACTGCTACACAGAGCCTTTCATGTCGGGAGGACGTCCAAAGGCGCTGGACAGTCAAGAGATTTGGACCCGAGCTGGGGGTTGGGATCAGGAGGGGGTGGTGGAGGGCGGGGTGGGCGGGGGGATGGGGGGGAAGGAAGGTGACCTAAGGAGCGGCTGAAGTGGAGGGTCTCGAGATGGGTCTTGAAGGAGGTGAGGGAGGGAGCGAGGCACAGGGACTGCGGGATGGAGTTCCAGAGGGTTGGGGAGCAGTTCAATATTCCCTGCTCCTGTCACCCTGACTGTCAGACAGACAGACAGACAGACAGAGACACACAGAGAGAGACAGAGAGAGACACAGAGACAGACAGAGAGAGACAGAGAGGGAGAAACACAGAGAGAGAGACAGACAGAGAGAGAGACAGAGAGACACACAGACAGAGAGAGAGACAGACAGGGAGAGATAGAGACAGACAGAGAGAGAGAGACAGAGACAGAGACAGACAGAGAGACAGACAGAAGAGACACAGAGAGAAGACAGAGAGAGACACACAGACAGAGAGAGACAGAGAGAGACACACAGACAGACAGACAGAGAGAGAGACAGACAGACAGACAGACGGAGAGGGAAGAGTTAATTTTTGACGTCAAGTTAAAAAGAGGGTTGAACTAAAACTGTTGGACAGTCTATGCATTAAGGTCTCGGTTGATCATCGCTGCTTTCCTGCTCCTGAGTGGTAAGAGATATATATACTATATATATAGAGAGAGAGTAACACAGAGAGAGGGACAGAGACAGAGACAGAGCTGAGATGTTTTTTTAAATTTCTATTCTACTGTTCATTTCACTCCTAATATTTTAATATCCCCCAAAATAAAATAATAATAACTGCTTTCTCCCTCCTCTCTCCCTCACTCCCCTCTTTTTCTCTTTCTCTCCCCTCCTCTCTCTCTCTCTCTCTCTCTCCCCTCCCCCCCCCCCTCTCCCTCTTCCCCCTCCTCCTCCTCCTTTCCCCTTCTCTTCTCCCCTCTCCCCCCCACCCTCTTCCCCTCTCCCCCCTCCCTCTCCTCCCCTCTCTCCCTCTCCCCCCTCCCTCTCCCCCCACCCTCTTCCCCTCTCCCCCACCTCTCCTCCTCCTTCCCCCTCTCCTTTCCCTTACCCCCCTTCCCTACCCCCCTTCTCTCTCCCCCTCTCTCCTTCCCCCCCATTTTCCTTCTGTCTCTCCTCCTTTCTTCCCCCTCTCCCTCTCCTCCCCCCACCCCCCCCCCCCCCCCTCTCCCCCTCTCCCCCTTTTCCTTGATCTAAACCCCCCACAGAAACCCGGAGACTTTGTTTAAATGATATATATATATATTGTGCAGATGTGGGCAGTGCAGCACATATGTGGGTTTATTTTCCTCTCTTTCCTCCTGACGTGTTAGGAGGGATGTGATGTCGTCTCTCTCTTTCTCTTTCTCTCTCTCTCTTTCTCTCTCTCGTTTCCAGTTCTGTTGGGATTTAAAAGCTATTTCATGTTAAAAAAAATTCCGCAAAGAATTCAGGGATTTGCGGTTTATTTACAGGTAACAAACTCTGTTCCCTCCAGGATACTAATGTAAAATAAAATGTATTTTTATTTACTTACATGTAACAAACTATTCTCTCTCTGATACTGAAGTGTAAAATACAATGTAGTATATTTATTTATATGTAACGCACTCTCTTCCCTCTGATACTAAAGTGCGAAATAAAATTAGTTTATTTACTTACATGTGACAAACTATTCTCTCTCTGACACTAAAAAGGCAAAATAAAGCGAAGTTTGTTTATTTAAATGTAACGTGTTCTTTCCTCTCTGATACTAAAATGCTAAATACAGTGTAGTTTATTTATTTATGTGTAACCCACTCTCTCCTCTCTCCAGGATACCAAAAAGCTGAAGTCATGGCAGTTGAAGGGGGAATGAAATGCATCAAATACCTGATTTTTATATTTAACTTCTTGTTTTGGGTGAGTTTCCTGATTTCAATGTGAATTTCACACCATATTTTGTTCTATTTACTCTCCACGCACACATATACACACACATATACACATATATATACACACATATACACACACGCACATATACACACATATACACACATATATATACACACATACACACACATATACACACATATACACACATATACACATACGCACATATACACATATACACATACACACATATACACACATATACACATACACACATATATACATACACACATACACACATACACACATATACACATATACACACATATAAATACACACACACACGATTGCCCCAATTCTAAGATTTTTAAGCCTAATTTTTTTTAAATGATGGAAAAATACCTTTTGTGGTTGAGTTATAATTTCAATGTGAAGTTCCTTATTTTTTCGCTGTATACAGAGACACTCACACACAGACACAGAGACACTCACACAGACACTCACACACAGACACAGAGACACTCACACGCAGACACTCACACACAGACACAGAGACACTCACACACAGACACTCACACGCAGACACTCACACACAGACACTCACACACAGACACAGAGATACTCACACACAGACACAGAGACACTCACACAGACACAGACACTCACACACAGACACAGAGACACTCACACACAGACATAGAGACACTCACACACAGACACTCACACACAGACACTCACACACACAGACACTCACACACAGACACAGACACTCACACACACACTCACACACAGACACAGAGACACTCACACACAGACACAGAGACACTCACACACAGACACACAGACGCTCACACACAGACGCTCACACACAGACATAGAGACACTCACACACAGACACAGAGACACAGACACTCACACACAGACACAGAGACACTCACACAGACATAGAGACACTCACACACAGACACAGAGATACTCACACACAGACACTCACACACAGACACTCACACACAGACACAGACACTCACACACACACTCACACACAGACACAGAGACACTCACATACAGACACAGAGACACTCACACACAGACACACAGACGCTCACACACAGACACACAGACGCTCACACACAGACATAGAGACGCTCACACACAGACAGAGACACTCACACACAGACACTCACTCACAGACACAGACACTCATACACAGACACAGAGACACTCACACACAGACACACAGACGCTCACACACAGACACACAGACGCTCACACACTCACACATAAGAGACATACACACTGCCACACACAGACAGACAGACAGACAGACAGACACAGAGACACACACGTAGAGACACACACACACTCACACACGGACAGACACAGAGACACACACACTCACACATAGAAACACACACGAATAACAGACTATCCATTGCCTCTAAGATTCTCAAAAGAGTTTAGAATCCCCATATTTTCAAATGATGAAAAAAAAATATTCTTTCTGCGCGAGTTTGTGAATTTCAATTGCATTTCTCTGGTTCTTGTTCTATTTTTCACTCCACAAACTCGCGCAGGACATTAAGCATTTAAAATAAGGTGTAAATCGTTGGAAGATTTTAAATATTAATTTTTTTTAAATGAAGGGGGGAAAAGTAATGTGCTTTCTGGGTGAGTTTGTTGATTTCAGTGTGAATTTCACTCCACAAACACACACACAAGAAACCATTCACAAACAGGATAGAATTGCCTCAATATGAAAGATAGTTAATTTCCCCCTCAATCTACTGGGGGGGTTGGGGGGGGGTAGAGAGAGAGGTGTTTGTGTGTGGGGGGGGGGGGGGGGGGCGTGAAGAGAGGGTGTTTGTGCGGTGGGGATGGGGGAGAGGGAGGTGGGTGTGAAATTAAAGGGCGAGTGATTAACACTTGTGCATTTAGGTGTGTTATTCATCAGCACTGTGTGTGTGTGAGGGTTATTGACTACACAGGTCTGTGCGTGTGTGTGAGAAGGTTATTGACCAGCGTAGGTCTGTGTGTGAGATATTGACTAGCGCAGGCCTGTGTGTGTGTGTGTGAGAGGGTTATTGACCAGCGCAGGTCTGTGTGTGAGATATTGACTAGCGCAGGCCTGTGTGTGTGTATGTGTGTGTGAGAGGGTTATTGACCAGCGCAGGTCTGTGTGTGTGTGTGAGATATTGACTAGCGCAGGCCTGTGTGTGTGTGTGTGTGAGAGAGGGTTATTGACTAGCGCAGGTCTGTGTGTGTGTGTGTGTGTGAGGGTTATTGACTAGCGCAGGTCTGTGTGTGTGTTAACCAGCCAACTAGGTTTCCAATCATGTGAGCTCTGGCTGGCCTTGGCAAGGCTTTAACTCATCCTGTGTATATATACATATATATATATATATATATATCTGTGTGTGTCAGACAGAGAGAGTCAGACTGTAAATGATTAGGAGTGTCACGGCAAGGGAGCTCGCTAATCTTATCCTTTTCTTTTCCTCCTTTCCTCTGCCTCCTTCCGCCTAAAACCACACACACAAACTCCCCCTCTCTCCACACACTCAACCCTCTGTCTCCTCAACACATACCTCTCTGCCCTTCCCTTCCCCCCATCACGTATTTCCCCCTCTCCCCCCCCCCCACACACACACACATCCCTCACTAACCTTCTCCCCCATACGTGCACCCTCTCTCTTACACCCCACACAGCCATCCCCCGCTCCCCCCTTACACCCCTGTGTCTCTCCCCCCACACCCCCCCCCACACACACACACTCCTCTCTATTTCCCCCTCCTCCCCCACCCACCCCTTGCTCGCACCGCCTTGTTTCCACCCCCCACCAGGTGTGTGCACTCTCTTTCTCTGCTCTCCCCCAAACACACACAACACTCTTCTCCGCTGACTTCTCCCCCCCCCCTCCCCCCACCATCTCAAACTTTACATTCACCAAAAATAACGTACATTCATACAGTGACTCTCATGCAAAGCAGCATTTTGGAGTATTTAAGAGAATCCCTGAGATAGTTCTGTAACGTATAATTTCTGTGAATGTTCTCATTGTGTTTCGGTGCTTTGTTTACCATCTTTTTTTTTTTCGCGCGCGTGAGGTGGGGGGGGAGGAGAGGGGCCGTCGGCCGGGGGGGCGTTTGACGAACGCGGAAACCCGTCACCGTCGCTTAAGTGTCTCCAAACCCAACCGAGAATTCCAGGCCTCCCATCATAGACTGTTGCGATAGAATGAGCCCTCTCCTCTCTCTCTCTCTCTCTCTCTCTGTGTGGGGGCGCCCCCTGCTTACCTAATTCCGGAGAGTATTAGGCGCAGGTTGACCAGAGCCGAGGCTTGGGGAGGAGGGAGGGGAGGGGGTAGCCCAGAGTGTGCGTTGGGGGTAACTGCTGGAGTCTAATCAGCTAAAATCCACATAATTTGCCATGTTTACCATCAGTCAGATCTTGGGTTTAACTTAAAACAAAATGTAAGGATTATTGTTTTATTTAAGATATCCTTTCCGAAGGGCAATGGAGGATATATTATGTATATATATATATATATGTGTATACACATAGAGCTGTTTTGATTTAAACTTGGCTGTCCTTCCCAATTGCCTGCGGTGGGCGCTGGGTGTCAAGCGATTTTTTTTAAAAAAAAACTTTACAATTACTCCCCAAAGTGCTTCACAAGATTTACCCTAAAGTGTAGTGACTGTGCGTTTTTGGTAGGGCGAACCCGGCAGACGATTTGCGCGCACAGCAACGTCCCGCAGACGGGCAACCCCGGGCGCAGTTGGAGGCCGCGTTTCGCTCACAAGCTATACAGTCACTACACTTCACAATACAATGCAAGGATTGTATTGCAATATATTATGAAGTGAATAACCGGATTTTTATCTGGGGGGGGGGAGGGATTGTCGGTCAGGACACTGGGGGTGGGGAGGAGAGAGAAAGAAACCTTTTTTTTTACAATAATACCAATTAGGTTTGTCGCTGTATGTGTGAGGCATAACCTAATAACGGGTGGGTTGTTCGAGTGCTATAATGGTCTGCCTGGGCTTTAGATCTCTGGAGTAGTAATCATAATAATACTCGCATTTGACACACTGCCTTGTCACGTCTTTGAGACATCTCAAACCGCCTCACGGGATACGCTGTAAAGTGGAGTGACTGTTTATTTTGTGGGCGAAACACGGCAGCAAATGTGCTCATTTATAACCACGGATTGTCTGGTGTAGTGGAGCTGGGAGATGACTAAAGTGCATAGAGAACACTTGGAGCCATAGAATAATTGCTTATGGCACGTGGCCTATGAGTCAGGGCTTGTGAGAGAGTCATCTGAGCTGAGTGTATTCACTGTATATTGTTCATTTCGCAAGATCACAAGAGGTTTGTATGACAAAAGGCCCTTTTGGCTGCTCTTGATCTCATCCGTCCCAGAATATCCCCATCGCTCCATCCGCGATGACACCAATAAGATGCCAATTAATCCATCCTCAACACCCTCAGTCCTCGATCCACCCTCTGTGACGGTCTCTGGTCCAGTTCCCGAGCCAGGCACTCACTGCTGATGGCAGCCCGGCCCGGCCCGGCTCAGCTACCGGCAGGACCTGGAAGGGCCGACCAGTCACTGGGGACAGGGAATCCTCCCCCTCAGCTCCTGTTAACCCACAGCCAAAGCCCTAATAACTAACGGGGAGGGGGTCCCAGCTGGCAAGCAGTGGGAAAGCTTGGCCAGACAGCGCTCTCTCTCTCTCAATGGCTAAGCTCTGTGTGGGTTTAGGTGGTTAGACTCCAGCAGTTACCCCAACCCGCACTCTGGCCCCTCCCCCAACCCCACAAGCCTTGGCTCTCGCCAACCTGCGCCTAATACTCTCCTGAATTAGGTGAGCAGGGGGGCGTCCCTCCAGAGAGAGAGAGAGAGAGAGAGCGCACTCCATTCCAACAGTCTATCTCTGGGATTCCCACGTGTAGATGGGAGGCCTGGAATTCTCAGTTGGGTTTGGATATCTCAAACCTGCGTTTCAATCAATTAATTAATTGA